CCTTGGGGTTTATAGGGTTCAGGGTCATGAGGGTTAGGGCTAGGGCGTAGGGTCTAGACTTTTACGGTTCAGGGTTCTGGCAGTTAGGCGTCCAGGGATTCGGGATAATTGGAGTTGGGTTTATTGAGGGTTCAGTTTAGGCTTTATTTCGGCTTCATAGGGTTGGGGGAGGGGGGGGGGCGAGGGGCCCCCCGCTAGAACGGACAGCGCACCACTATATTGACAATCACTATGATTAGTGTGCACAAGAAACCAAAAAAAAACACGCACCAACAATAGCAATACAGACCCTCCCTCAAAATGTTCATACCACAGTTCAGGAGTCGTTGATATAGTGGGTACAGAGACCCTACCATCAAGTTACCATACAAAAAACACATGACCAATCCACCCCAAACCCTACTTACTAACTCGGCTGACCCAACGATCCTCTGAACCCTACGAACCACTCTAAACCCTAAACCCTAGACCCTAAACCCTGCAAACCCCAGTCACACTCCCTACAAGTACTGACTGCCCAGTTAGCACCAATTACCCAGATCTTCCAAAACCCCCTTACTTAAGGAAAGGGTTTAGGGTTTAGGGTTTAGGGTTTAGGGTTTAGGGTTTAGGGTTTAGGGTTTAGGGTTTAGGGTTTAGGGTTTAGGGTTTAGGGTTTAGGGTTTAGGGTTTAGGGCTTAGGGCTTAGGGTCCCAGATCTTCCAAAACCCCTTAATTTAAGGTATACCCTAATCTATACTAAGGATCATTGTTATGAATGAGGGTATGTTCCTTAATTAAGGGGTTTTGGAAGATCTGGGTAACCCGCTCAACCCGAAGTCAACTCAACTTAAGCTCCTTAGTGAGAGTTTAAGGCTCCCTTACTAAACCCAAAACCCAAAACCCAAAAACCCTAAACTGTGGTTCTTAACTATCAAAGAGCGCGGTCATGTACGGGTTCGGCGTTTGGATTTGGGACGTGAAGCCTTTGGGGCTTGGGATTCTAGCGGTTGGGGGGGGGGGGGGGGGGGGGGGGGGGGGGGGGGGGGGGGGGGGGGGGGTGTTGGGAGAGGGGGGTGTGGGGGGGGAAACCAGAAAGCCTAAACCCTAAACCCTAAACCCTAAACCCTAAACCCTAAAACCCCTGAAGGGTTGGTCTGGCAATCGCAACATGTTCAACCTCCTTATCAAGGCAGGTGGCCTCTTTATCTGTTTCCCTTATACCTTAACATAGCCCCTAGATACCCTAATAAGAACCACCCCTACGAAACAGAAGCCCTACCTAAAGAGACCACCAACCAATATACACACTATACATAATAAGCCCTTGAAACCCTAAACCCTTGACCCTAAACCCTAATATAACTCTGACCCTTCAGGCTCCGGCGACTGGTGCCAGAGTCCGAGCCTGGCTCTTCGTGCGCCAGAAACCCTAATCCCGACACCCCAGAGACTCCCTGGTTCTTAGTAGGGAATGGGGTTTGGGTTTAGGGTTTAGGGTTTAGGGTTTAGGGCATAGGGTTTAGGCTTAGGGTTTAGAGTTTCGGGTTTAGGGAAATATGGGGGGTGAAGACCTCTGGTCAGATTGATAAACCGAGTGTTGATCTAGTACGGCCCCCTCCCTTGAACCCTAAACCCGGGCTTGGGGCTTAGGGTTTAGGGCTAAGTTGGGCTTGGGCTTAGGGTTTAGGGTATAGGGCTTAGATGAGCTCAGGGTCGAGGGTTTGGGGCCTCGGGTTTTGGGGGGTCTGAAGGAAGCCAGGGCCTTAGGGTTTAGGGTTTAGGGTTTAATTAGGGTTTAGGGTTTAGGGTTTAGGGTTTAAGGGGTTCATGAGGGGGTCGGTACCTAGGGAAAAAGGAGGTCGAACGAAGACGGAGGTGACCCGCTCTGTCTTGCGGTCCATCGCAACATCCAAACGTCAAAATGGCCCAAGTCTCCCGGAACCGCGTCCACAGCTTGCTTCATTTGCCGGGCCTTGGCCACAGAGAGACCCACGGCCAGCAAGCCCCTAAACCCTAAACCCTAAACCCTAAACCCTAAACCCTAAACCCTAAACCCTAAACCCTAAACCCTAATCCCACGAATACCATATCAGGCCACAGGTGCCATCCCGCAAGGCCGCTGTTGCAGAGACCTGCCATGGCTCTCAGAACCTGGTGGTCCTGGCTGCGTGGGTTTAGGGTTTAGGGTTTAGGGTTTAGGGTTTAGGGTTTAGGGTTTAGGGTTTAGGGTTTAGGGTTTAGGGTTTAGGGTTTAGGGTAATCCTCCTCCAGCACGACACACAGCACGTCAGGTTCCAGGCGTCCCTGACAGATGAACTTAATCCCTGTTCCCCTAGGAAGAAAAAAGGATCCTTTTTTGTCTATATATATAAGAAAGCCCATAACCCAAAAAGTAAAAAGGATCCCTAACACTGATTTAGGATGAAGGGCAAAATGGAGTCCCGCCAGCCATGTCCTTAGGGAAGCTTCGGGAGCAATGGGGAGTGCTGTTAGGGTACGTCGGGCTACATGCCTTTTCGCACCCCCCTCCCTTGCGAACCGTAGAATACCACCCGAAGGAAACCCTAAACCCAAAACTTCAGAAGCCCCCAAACCCTAAACCCTAAACCCCAAACCCCAAACCCTAAACCCTAAACCCCAAAACCGAAGGCCCCCAGTCGAGATGCAAGCGTTCTTCAAGCGAGTCCTACTCGGACCCCTGAGGAAGTGCCCCTAAGAGGCTTGTCTCCATGTACTCCTACTAGAGCCCTTAACTTCCCTCAGAGTATACCTAAACCCTAAACCCTAAACCCTAAACCCTAAACCCTAAACCCTAAACCCTGAAAGGGGTCCCCCAAACCCAAGGCGATAACCTAAGGGATCCAAGGTAGAGTCCCGTGATTACGCAATTGGCCACCCCCAGCTCTATGACGCCCATTCCAGCAAACCTTAAAATTCTTAAGGGTATACGGAGAGAACCCCTAGAAGGGACCCTTCATCTTGTTCCCCTGTATGACCTCTGTATATACCGTATATAGTCCCTATATACCTAAGCAGACCCTAAGTAACCCCCAAATAACCCCTAAGGCCCTTATAAGAGTCCCTCCTTTAGCCCCTTAAGCCTTGAACTCTAAACCCTGGAAAGCCCTGACACTTTAAAATTCTGCACGCTTTCAAGCCTTGCACCCTCAACTTAGGGTTTAGGGTTTAGGGTTTAGGGTTTAGGGTTTAGGGTTTAGGGATAGGGTTTAGGGTTTCGGGTTTCGGGCACCCTGAAAACCCTGAAGCCCTACCACCACAGTGTGAAGCCTCCAGGGGGACTGGATTTTCCACCCACGTGTCATCTCCTGCCAGTGAGACGAACTGCACATTCCTTCCTACTCCAAACCTTCTGCAGACCCGTCTAGGGTTTAGGGTTTAGGGTTTAGGGTTTAGGGTTTAGGGTTTAGGGTTTAGGGTTTAGGGTTTAGGGTTAGGGTCTAGGGTCTAATTTTCGGGTTTAGGGCTTATGGCTACTATTTGCTCTGTTTAAGAGCCCCCTAAATCTCGAAACGATTCTTCCTTATTCAGGCAACATGGGGAGTGTGTTGTTTTTATGTAATCTCTTTCTTCTTTGGGGGGGGGTTCTTAAGCAAAGAGTAGCTTCACATTACCTGGCCCTCAGGGTCCATGTACCTAATAGACCTCCTATATAGGGACTTTGGGGAACAAGTATATATAGGTACATGGACCCTTAGGGAATTTAGGATTTAGGGTTTAGGCTTTCTGGGATCTAGGGCGTAGGGCCATGCTACCAAACTGCAAGGCTCATAAAGGCGGGCTTTGATTTTAGGCCTTTGGGTCTGGGCTCAGGGCTTAGTAGGGCATGAGGGAATAAGGTACCCTATCTCCTCCTATAGACACCCTTTAAGGGATTACCTAGAGGACCGGGAATGGGAAGGACCAGGGCTTCATTTTTTCGTAGTGGGGCTCTAGGGATTCTGCCTTGAACCCTTAAGGTTGAAAGTTCCTTAAGGCAGTACAAGGGCCATTAGGAGTATATGAAGGGGAACGTTTAGGGGTGCGAGTCTTCATCCCTTGAGGGGTTGAGGGTCCGGGTTAGATCCCCCCAGCACCTCTGCGCGCGCTCGTGCGGGTTTAGGGTTTAGGGTTTAGGGTTCAGGGTTTCGGGTTTAGGATTCAGGGTTTACAGACATACTACTGGGCATCCGAGCTGGGAAGCCGGAACCCTAAACCCTGAGCCCTAAGCCCTAAGCTTGGGATCTGCCTCGGCACACTAACAGTCAAATAAAGGGTTTTGTACTAAACATAGCGCAAAATTCCAGCACCAGAAAGTCTGATCGAGTTTGGACCTGGCTCAGCAGACGAGATCACACTTTGGGCCTTGGTTTGTGGTCTTTTCTGGTGCTAGTCACTGTGCTCCTGCTGGTGCTTGTTGATGGTGCCATTGCTTCGTTCTGAGCACAAAAAATAGCACCGGAGAAAGCACAATCATGAGCACAAAAAATAGCACCGGAGAAAGCACAATCGTGAGCACAAAAAAATGCACCGGAGAAAGCACAATCATGAGCACAAAAAATAGCACCGGAGAAAGCACAATCGTGAGCACACAAAAAAAAGCACCGGAGAACGTGAGCACAAAAAATAGCACCGGAGAAAGCACAATCATGAGCACAAAAAATAGCACCGGAGAAAGCACAATCGTGAGCACAAAAAATAGCACCGGAGAAAGCACAATCATGAGCACAAAAAATAGCACCGGAGAAAGCACAATCATGAGCACAAAAAATAGCACCGGAGAAAGCACAATCATGAGCACAAAAAATAGCACCGGAGAAAGCACAATCTTGAGCACAAACAAGAGCACCGGAAAACTTCATCACACTCATACATCAGGCCTTCGGGTATGATCATGAGGCACTCAGAAATGTCCAATCTCACGGGTGCTTTATTTTGTGGGTGTGTTTGTGCTGACCATTAGTGTGCTCGGGCAAGTCATAACCCTAAGCCCTAACCAGGGACCCACTCCCTTGGTGCGCCTTCATCCAGGGCTGGGCGATAGCTGCTCGTCTGGGAGAAGCCACTGCCTGGCACCGGGTTTGGGGTTTAGGGTTTGGGGTTTAGGGTTTAGGGTTTCGGGTTTAGGGTTTGGGGTTTAGGGTACTGCCTGGCATGGGCTTGGGAACACTGGAGAACCTTTAGGACATGTCGATCCAGCTCTCTTGCTTCGGGCCCTTAGTTGGGGAACCCCTATATACCCCTCCTTATCACCCCATCAAACGCAAGGGCTTGTACTTCAGAAGCAACCCTAAACCCTAAACCCTAAACCCTAAACCCTAAACCCTAAACCCTAAACCCTAAACCCTCATCCCCGCTCCGGTTTGGGCCTGGAGGGCCTGCTAGGCTCAGGTAGAGGCCACGGAGGTGTGGCCTGGAGAGGGGCAGAGGTTTGGGTTTCGGGTTCAGGGTTGAGGGGTTGAGGGTTTAGTTCAGGGGTTTAGGGTTCAGGACTGGGTTGGGGGGTCTTAGGGGATGAGGGCATAGGGTTTAGGGCTTTAAGACTTAGGGCTTTGATTTGCGAGCTGTGAACTTGACTGCTTCGAATGGGCTTACAATGGTAGGACACCACGCAGTTTAAAGAAATAAACATGCACAAATAAAAAGCTGTATTTACTGCTCCTAAGTGGGCAAGGGTGGATATTCCGGACTGGCTGCTTTTCTACTTGATTCCCGACTTGCCCACTCGGAAATCGTAGGCAAAACGTAGGGGCTGATCCAAAGTATCGGACCAGTTTTCGTTCTTTGTCATCCTTGCTTCTACTGTACTCGAAAAAAAACCAACCCAAAAGAGTGCCAAAAAGTCCAGCAACCCACCCTAAACCCTAAACCCTAAACCCTAAACCCTAAACCCTAAACCCTAAACCCTAAACCCTAAACCCTAAACCCTAAACCCTAAACCCTAAACCCTAAACCCTAACCCTAAAGACACCGGTCACGGGAGCTCAGGTTGCTGGGTGCTGCACTCGAGGCTCATCCACGACTCCTCCGGTAGCGGTTTAGGGCGTAGGGTTTAGGGTTTAGGGTTTAGGGTCTAGGGTTTAGGGTTTAGGGTTTAGGGTTTAGGGTTTAGGGTTTAGGGTTTAGAGTTTCAAGACAGTCACAGGTGGGCAGTTACTGTCTATATAAGGCTCTTGAAAGTTGTTTGGGGTTGATATAAACCTCTTGCAGGCAGGACAGAGTCTACGCCTCGGGACAATATACGGATATACATATATATATATATATAATGCCCTAGCACCTACATCCTAAACTGGTCCTAAACCCTAAACCCTAAACCCCAAACCTTAAACCCTAAACCCCAAACCCTTAGGGTGTTCAGGCTGGGCACCGTGCACCTTGCTGATTTTGGGCTGGAACCCTAAACCCTAAACCCTAAACCCTAAACCCTAAACCCTAAACCCTAAACCCAAACCCCTAAACCCTAAATCCAAAACCTTAAGCCCTCTAAGCCCTGCACCTTGCACTTCGGAGCTAAATAGACACCTTGCCCTCGACCCTGCAAAAAGAGAAGGCATCTTATAACGAGAGCCTATTCACAAGAAGGGCATGGGGGGTCACAAGGCACGCCCCGACACCCTGAGCCCAACTGTAACCCTACTCATCAAACTGGCGGTACTCACCCCCAAAATACGTAGTAGGTCCAACCAAAACTGCAGGTACACAGAAGCCCTCAGCCCCAAACTCGTGAATAAATCTCGAAAGCCTACGCCCCTAAACCCCCCAAACCCTAAACCCCGAAACCCTTAAACCCTAAACCCAAAACCCCAAAACCCAAAACCCTAAACCATAAATCCCAAAACTCAACTTTCCGCTCCCGTCCTTAGAAAATCCCACCACGGACGTCTCGAATCGGACGATGCCTGCATTGGATGTTGGCGTCAAGGGGCTTTGAAATCTTAGAGACCGAAATAGGGAACACTGGGGCCTGAAAGTACTTCCTTCTTAGGGGCTTTTGGGCCCGGATTGGGGATGTTATGGCTTCGCGATTCACGACTAAGCGCGGCAATGAAATTCCTTCTCATCTACGCCCTAAACCCTAAACCCTAAACCCTAAACCCTAAACCCTAAACTGTTCCCCGGGGTGTTGAAGGTGCCTTTAGGGATTGGGGCTTGGGGATTTCCTACACACAAAACCCTCTAAGCCCTGCAGTATATTCCAGGTGCCCAGGACACCGAGTTTTAAAAAAAAGGACCGCCTACTTAGGGTTTGGGGTCAGGGTGTGTAGTGAAGACCATAAACCCCAAACCCTAAACCCTAAACCCTACACCCTAAACCCTAAACCCTAGTCCTTGCAAGTCGGGAGGACTCGGCTTCAGTGCGGCACCTTGCTCAACAACTTCCCCTTTTTAGCTGCCTTACGAAGAGGTCCAAAAAGAACCACTGACAGACCCCGGAACTTGAAAGCTTTCTTTGGTTCATGCTTCTGAACCAGGGTTTAGGGTTTAGGGTTTAGGGTTTAGGGTTTAGGGACCCTAAACCCAGAAACCTTATCTTGTTGAGAAACCTTAAGCTAAGTTACCCCAATAAGGTCTCGATATGACAAGCTAGACTGTCCTTACTGATTTCAGTTCTCCTTAGACCCTAAACCTGAAACCCTAAAAAAAACCAGGCCCTAAACCTTAAGCCCTAAACCCTAACCTTAAACCCTAAACCCTAAACCCTAAACCCTAAACCCTAAACCCTAAACCGCGACTGCGCGAATCCCATGCCCTTGTCCCCCTGGCCTGGTGGGGCCTGTGCAGGTCGGACTCCGACCTCATTCGGGTTTAGGGTTTAGGGTTTAGGGATTAGGGTTTAGGGGCATTAAGCCCACCCACCCCTGCCAGCCGCTTCTCCGGGCAATTTTTGCCCGTCTTAGGATGGCCCTTACTACCCTCGGAACAACTTTCCTGCCCAAAGACTCCAACATCCCTAGGGTTTGTAAGCCCCTTATGGGTTTAGGGTTTTAGGGTTTAGGGTGTAGGGTTTAGGGTTTAGGGTCTTTAAGTAAGGAATATTCCTTAACCCATAATAAGCAACCCTCTTATATTGTTCAGGAAAATTGCCTGATCAAGGGTATGGGAGTTTTTTGGCTGAATATGATCCTCTTGAACACAAGAAGGGAAAGTTAAAATGTCCCACGGGCCTACCCCTGAGGCTGTCCCCATAGCTTTTGGGGGACACTTTTTTGAGATCTTTAGGGTAGTATAAAGCCATGTTGAGAGTATGTTAAGCACACACAGTCCAGATGCTGGTAACTTGCCTGTTTGCGGTTGGCTTCACTCTGCGTCAGGTTGGTGAAGGGTCTCGAGTCTGCGGTGAGTGCTGGGGTTTAGGGTTTAGGGTTTAGGGTTTAGGGTTTAGGGTTTAGGGTTTAGGGTTTAGGGTTTAGGGTTTAGGGTTTGGGGTTTGGGGTTTAGGGTTTAGGCACAAAGCTGGTGTACCTCTGCCCCCTTAGGGTTTAGGATTTGGGGTTTAGGGTTGGGGGTTTGCTGCGCCCAAAGTAGCCCCGAAACTCTCTGGACCCCTAAGGATGTACCCCCAAGAGGTTTCCCTTAACATACTCCCAATCTGGCCATCAGATTCCCTTAGAGGATCTTGAACAAGGGTTTAGGGTTTAGGGTTCAGGGGTTTGGGGTTTAGGGTTTAGGGTTTAGGGTTTAGGGTTTAGGGTTTAGGGGGGTAGGAAGACCGGCCCGGAGCCGCCGGCCAGATTCTGGGCTTCCGCCAAAACGTCTGCTGAAACCTCCCGTCTCAAAGCGGTCCGAGGATGTTCTGCGCCACGGGAAGAAAGCCGCGGACTTTGGCCGACTTCAGGGCATCTGCTCTCCAACGCTGGTCATCAGAAACGCTATCCTTGGGGACGAAATGAACCCTAAGATTGGGGTCATATACCTTGACTACTAGAATTCCTATTAAGGTCTATGAGCCATAAGCCCTTTTAGGGTTCATTTCGTCCCCAAGGATCGCGCCAGCCATCTGACGACGATGCTTCGCCTCCTGCTGCGCTTGCTCCTGCAGCTGCTAAGGTGGTTAGGGTTTAGGGTTTAGGGTTTAGGGTTTAGGGTTTAGGGTTTAGGGTTTAGGGTTTAGGGTTTAGGGTTTAGGGTTTAGGGTTTAGGGTTTAGGGTTTAGGGTTTAGGGTTTAGGGTTTAGGGTTTAGGAAGTCCCTTGATCAGTAGTCCCAAAGTCGAATCCTTACTAGATTGCCCAGTAGGATGAAAAAGGGTGCCCCTTTTCCTTAAAGGGGCTTATAAGGGAACCTACACCGAACCTAAACCTACCAAAAAGGGAATAAGGGTACTGGGCATCCTAGCTTAACCTTAGCTGTTCTTGGCGACTTCAGCACAAGGAACTAACAACAATGAGAAACATCCGGTATATGAGCAGATGTGCCGAACATGTTCAAGAGACCCTAAGCCCTAAACCCTAAAAACCTAAACCCTAAACCCTAAACCCTAAACCCTCAACCCTAAGACTGGATGTCTTGGGTCTAGCTTGGAGTTCTGGACGTAGGGCTGTGGGACAAGAAATTCTTAAAGGGTTCATCCGACGACTTACTTTAATTTTGCTGGGAGATACGGTCCAGGGGGCGAGTCAACAACTACTACTTCGTAGGGTTTGGAGCGTTGGGGGGTTTAAGGTTTAGTAATTAGGGTTTGGGGCTCCCTAAACCCTAAACCCCTAAACCCCTAAACCCCTAAAACCCCTAAAACCCCTAAACCCCTAAACCCTAAACCCAAAACCCTAAACCCCAAAACCCCTCACACCCTCAAAGCTTCAAGGAGCATCTTGAGGTCCGCGCTTCGGCGGAAGTCTCCTGGTAGCAGTCGCAACGGCCTGGTCATGAAACGGTTGCGTGAAGATCCCAGAGAGGAACAAGGTTTAGGGTTCAGGGTTTAGGGTTTTGGGTTTAGGGCTTAGGGTTTAGGGTTGAGGGTTGAGGGTTGAGAGTTGAGGGTTGAGGGCCTAATACCTCCCACAGTAAGGACTCTTACAATTACAGATCGGGACCCCTCATAGATTTAGGCGCATTCCACTGTTATTTGCTGGCGGAGGTCGTCCTTTGGTTGTGGCCACAGTAAACCCAAGCATAGGTGCCCCAGTAAACATAGGCATGAAAATGGGTGCCCTAAGCCCTAAGCCCTAAACCCTAAACCCTAACCCTAAACCTCAAACCCTTGTTTCACGGTTTGAGGTTGAGGCTTCCACCCCCAGAAAGAAGAGGAATAAAAGCACCACTGGGCGTCCCCCACGAACCCTCCGGGATTTACGGTTTAGGGTTAGAACCGCCCTAAACCCTAAACCCTCATCCCTAAACCCTAAACCCTGAACCAGGATGTTTCTGGGGGTGCAGTTTTTATTCAGAGAACGTGTGCTCACTCAGCTACTGAGAAACCCTAATTCCTAAACCCGAACCTATGAGCCAGAGTCCCCCTCGAACCATGTATCCTAAATCCCCCCCAAAAAACCCTAAACTACTATTTGCTTAAAGAAACCCCCCCCCCCCCCCCCCCCCCCAACAAAAAAACAAAAACATAAAGAAAGAGGCAACATCCCTAACATCCTTATGTTGGCCTGGTAAGGAAGAACACATCTTGTTTTTTGGGTATTTCTTAAGGAAAGAGTAGCCCTAAACCCTACACCCTCAGCCCTGAATAGTAGTTAACCCTAAACCATCAACCCTCAACCCTCAACCCTAAGCCCTATAAACCCTAAACCCTAAACCCTAAACCCTAAACCCTAAACCCTAAATCTATATATATATATATATATATAGCCCTATAAACCCTAAACCCGGCACCTGGCTCCTGCTTCGTCACGTTCGGTGCGTCTTCGACGGGGCACCAGGTGGCGAAACCTTGATGAAATTTGAGGTTTAGGGTTTAGGGTTTAGGGTTTAGGGCTAGTGTTTAGGGTTTAAGGTTTAGGGCTTCGGGCTTAGGGTTAGGTTTAGGGCGCAGAGGGCTCTAGGCTGTTCTGGTGGGGCTTAGTATTGAGATTCGCAGTTTTCTAGGTCAGAATTGTAGAAAAGGCCTGGCCGTTCTGTGCTTCACGAGGTTGACAAAGGTTCCTATACCCCATAGGGCCACTACAGACCATCCAGAAAGCCGAAACCCTGACTAGAGGGACACATTCCAGACCCAAGAGGAAGCTAGGAACAAAGAGGTGCCCGCTTGTTGAGTTTCAAGGGCTTACAAGGGAACCTCAACTTTTAAGAAGGGAATAACCCCCCGCCCGCTGGGCTTTAAGCCTTCGGCCCCCACCCCCCCCCCCCCCCCCCCCCCCCCCCCCCCCCCCCCACAAAAAGTGTTGACTGATTGTGGGGAGGTCGGGCTGGGGGTGGGGGTGGGGCTGGGGCTGGGGCTGGGCCAAACCCTGAACCCTCTAAAAGCGCCCTGCAATCTCCCAAAACCAACGACTGTGTAGGGGTCTGATCGCTATCCCCACTAAGGAAGAACTTGGGCACGATAAGGGGTTTAACCCTCACGCCACTGCAGGCACTGCCGAAGCTGTCAATTGAGGCGCCGTGTTGGCCTTCGGCTGTCTAGAGCTAGGGGCAGTCACATGCCAAAACCGATGCCAAGCCACTCGCGAATCCCGAATGCAGCGGGCTGCAAGCTGACGGTTTGGGGTTTAGGGCTTAGAGTTTAGGGTTAGGGGCTTTAGGCTTTAGAGCTTTAGGGTCAGGGTTTAGGGTTCATGCTGGCACGTTGAACCAGTCTTCCAGCCACTCGTCCAGCTCTTCGAAAGCTCCCTGCAGCTGCTCCCCATGCTTTTCCCGCACCACGGAAACCAGGGCCATCACAACTCCCCTGAGCCACCTTAGTCGCTGAGATCAGCAGCCCCAAGAAGTGCACACCTTCAGTTCTCCAAGGAGATTCTCGTATCCCAAAACGTGTAAAGTGCACTCCTTCACCCTAGGCCCTAAACCCTAAACCCTAAACCCTAAACCCTAAACCCTTCAGTTACTAAGCCACTCATTTGCTGGCCTCCCATCATCCTCCACCTTGCAAAGTGCTCGGATCTCCGCCATCGTTGCTGAGGTCAGGAAGGGAAGCGCAGCGTCATGTTCCTTACTTCTCCAATAACCAAGGGGGAAAATTGTTTAAAAAAAAAGCCCTCAGCCCTAAGCCCTAAACCCTAAACCCTAAACCCTAAACTTCATTTTTCCTACAAAATAAAGGGGAACCCAAAGTTCACCTATTGGCGAAGGAAGGTTCTCCGTCCTCTGACCAGAAGTATGGAGGAGGCGGCAGGAGAAGCTTTCCCTCGCCGTCGCTACCATCAAGGCATGAGAGTTTGAAAGCATTGTACTCAGCCTCTGCATTGACGATTTCGGAAGACCGGATTTGGAATAACACAGGCTGCGTGCCAACACGGGCAATAAGCTTGACAGTGAAAAACTTGACGGGCGAGTGAGCAGCTTCACCGTGCGATCGTTTGGATTCGCAGCGGAACCACACGACGTCTTTGTCGGCGGTTGGGGTTAGCTGGCCAGGAGCAGCAGCATGCATACGCTTGATGCCTGGCTGGATCCGTTCAGGGGCTTTAACGCTAACCATAAAAAATGTTGAAGGTTGCCCCCCTCCTAAACCCTAAAGACTACACAGGCCCTACCCTAGACAGGTCAAAGTGAAAGGTTACCAGACCCAAGACTATCCGAGGAAGAACAATAACAAGGGTGCCCTTGCTGGTTGAGAGGGGCTTATACGGGAACCTTAGCCCTAAAAAGGGAAATAAGGGTCTACCCTGGTTACCCTAAACCCTGAACCCTTGAAAACCCTCATTATGCTCAGCACCCAAGATGCAGGCGTCGCGAAGCTGGCCCAGTTTCTCTGCTGCCGCCTTCAGCTCCGAAGGCGTCAAGCCAGCAACCAGCTCCTCTTCGTTGTCCTTTATCCTGGGTTCCCCTAGGGTTTAGGGTTTAGGGTTTAAATCAGGGTTTAGGGCTTAGGGTTTGGGGTTTGGGGTTTAGGGTTTAGGGCTTTTCGTTGTCCTTTATCCGGGGTTCCCCACGGTAACCTGAATAGTACTTGGGTTTAGGGTGTAGGGTTTCTTTTGGGTTTAGGTGATAGGGTTTAGGTCTTAGGTTTGCAAGAATACTCTAAGAATCACAGGAACTCAACCACTGAAAAAAGGGCATTCAGGGCACCATATGGACTGTATGGCAACCCTAAACCCTAAACCCTAAACCCTAAACCCTAAACCCTAAACCCTAAACCCTAAACCCTAAACCCTAAACCCTAAACCCTAAACCCTAAACCCTAACTGTATGGCCATCCGAGTATCACGTCCATCAGCTTCGGACGCTTGGCTGCCGCCGGCTCAGCTGCAGGGCGCGCCGGCAATGCGCTGCTGGAAGCCTTGGTAGCCCAGTAACCATCTTACAAAAAAGGGAGGGTTTAGGGTTTAGGGTTTAGGGTTTAGGGTTTAGGGTTTAGGGTTTAGGGTTTAGGGTTTAGGTTTAGTTGGTTACTTTATTACTTTACAAGGGACCCCAGAACCATTAAAAAAAAAGGGTCAAGGGCACCACTCGGCTACACAGAAGCAGCAACTACCGCAGCCAGCGCTTCAGCATAAATTAGGGGTATATTCTTAAACCCAAAACCCTAAACCCTAAACCCCTAGATCTGAGTACCAAGAAGCAGCAACCGCAGCCAATGCTTCCCTCTTCACCGGCCGGGACCTGGATGGATCGTCGGCACGGAACCTAGGTTGGCACCTGAAAAGCTAACAAAAGGGTTTTGGGTTTAGGGCCTAGTTTAGGGTTTAGGGTTTAGAAAGACCCAGATCTTCCCCCAAAAAAACCCTTAATTCAGGAATACACTCTAATTCAGAATTCTGATCCTTAGTATAAATTAGCGGATATACCTTAATTAAGGGGTTTTGGAAGATCTGGGGACATTCCTGACATATGATCCTCTTAGACCCACCCAGATCTTCCAAAACCCCTGAATTAAGGAATAGAGCCTAATTCATACTAAGGATCCTAGTTATGAATTAGAGTATAATTATTCCTACTACTTAAGGGGTTTTTGAATCTGAAGATCTGGGCAACAAGGGAAAATGTGAAAATGCTCCAAGGGCCTACAAGGAACTGCACCATCCGCTCCAGGTCGACGCGCCAGGTGTCGAGATGAACAGGCTCCTTATGGCCTTGGCTGACTTCTGAATCCCTCCGAAGAGTTTAACTTCTAGCCTCCTTATTACCGTTTCTACAAAAAACCCACCCCTCCTAAAAGTTTAACTTTTAGCCTCCTTATTGCAGTTTCTACAAGAAAAACCAAAAGGTTAAAGTCCTAAGAGCCAGCCAGAAGAAAGCCAAGATACACCCCTAAGCCTAAACCCTAAACCCTAAACCCTATAACCCTCTCGCCCTATAGCCCTAAGAGCCAAGTGGCCGGCCTGATATCGCTGGAAACCCGCCTCTATCCGGTCAGACTGCTCCTTGGCGTACGGCGCCCATCCGCGCGCCACCTTGAAGAACCACGACATTGCGGCAAGCCGCCGCAGGGTTTAGGGTTTAGGGTTTAGGGTTTTAGGGTTTAGGGTTTAGGGTTTGGGGTTTAGGGTTTAGGGTTTAGGGTTTAGGGCTTACGGTTTAGGGTCGGGGGGCTTCGGCCACTGTGGGCTTTCTCTTGGATGTGCTGAAGGAACACGCCAAGAAAAACCTAAAAGAACATGCACTCCAGCAGCTATTTCATTAGAAGGGGGTACCGTGGCTTATGTTAGAACTATGGTATACAGGGGCAGAAGCGGGGATGTACAAATGAAGCGTTCTAGGCCCAAGCTCCTACTCACAACTTGAGCGTAACAAAAGGAGCCTCGACAGCAAGCCTAAATCCCTTCATGACATTCTGGGGCTTGTTTTTGGTTCTGGGGTTCAGGGGACCCAAAACCCTATCCCTGAACGGCTATTGGGCTATTGGGGTTCAGAGTCCAGCCATTCAGGGCTTCTAGGCGTGGCGTTGGATCTATGGATTCTATGGTGCGTGGTTCAGCGTACCCTATGGAGTAGGGTTTAGTGTGCCCTAAGGTTTAGAGGTTAGGGCTTAGGGTCTAGGGTTGCGTATATATGGTTCCTTACAAATATTGGCAGGACGGCGTGTATGGACTGTCCTTTTGAGGGTATGGTTCTCTACCTTATGGTTACTTGGGGGATTCCTTCCTATTTTGCCGCGGGCCTCAAATGTTTTTGAGCCGAAGCCCTAAACCCTAAAGTTTAGGGTTTAGGGCTTCGGCTCAAAAAACGCTGCGTTTCTTGGCCCGAATCTCTAAGATCTAAACCCCAAATCCTAAAAACCTAAACACCTAAATCAAAAAGCTTCAGCCCCATAAACTCCCCACCTCTGAGGCCCTAAACCCTAAACCCTAAACCCTAAACCCTAAACCCTAAACCCCAAACCCCAAACCCCAAACCCTAAACCCTAAACCACCATAGACTCTCACCTCTGAGGCCTCGGGCAAGCGCCTGTCAGGCCGCAGGTGTTGCTGCATGCGCCGCTCATCACATCCTCGTCGGGATGGTTAGGGTCTAGGGTCTAGGGTCTAGGGTTTAGGGTTTCGGATTTAGGGCTTAGGGTGTCGGATTTAGGGTTGAGGGTTGAGGGTTTGTACAGACTTTCGGGAATTACAGGGCCCTCAAGGGGTGGGGTGAAGATTCAGGTTATGGTAGGGTTTCCTTGGGTCTACAGCCCTGTCAACCCATTTCACCAAACCCGAAAAAACGCTACAAAAACCCTACAATCAAGGGTATGACAACTTCTCACACAAGGTTTGCCCTTAGATTCTACGACCCAAAGTCGTAGAGAATGTTTGAGGATTGCCCTAAATCCTAAACCCTAAACCCTAAACCCTGAAGCCTAAACCCATTTGTTGGGATTACCCCCGCCCTTGTATTTGTGCTTCTTTTTTGGGCACCAACCCGTGGCCGAACACAAACAAGTCTTTTGATGTTGGGTTTGGGGTTTGGGGTTTAGGGTTTAGGATTTAGGATATAGGGTTTGGGGTCTAGGGATTGGGGTTTAGGGCTTGGGTTTAGGGTTAGGGGTCTAGGGTTTGGGGTTTAGGATTCAGGATATAGGGTTTAGGATTTAGGATATAGGGTTTAGGGTTTGGGGTCTAGTGTTTGGGGTTTAGGGTTAGGGTTTAGGGTTCGGGGTTTAGCAAAGAAGCAAAGGTCTCGAAAAACAAAACCCAAAGCAACCAGGCCCCCTGGTGACCCGGCGATCCCGCACCCGCTTGCCTTCTTGTCCTCGCTCGTGCACCACCCGGTGGAAGTAAAGGTACCGCAAGCTGGCAGGCCGGTTGGGATTAGGGTTGAGGGTTGAGGGCTTAGGGCTTAGGGTTTAGGGCTCGGGTTTGGGGTTTAGGGCCTTTAAGGTTTAGGGTTTCGGGTTTGGGGTTTAGGCTTTAGGGTTAAGGGTTTACTGTTTAGGGCTTTAGGGTTGGGACGTTCTCCCGTATACGAACAGTCCTCAATAGGGATTCTAATGGGGGGTACGATAATGACTGCTAGTACGAGGGGGGGGAGATCCCAACTTAAGGGTGTTTATGATGCTTAGGACTTGGGATTAGGGGTTTAGGGGTTTAGGTGTGGGGTTTAGGGTTGAGGGTTGAGGGTTTAGGGTTTAGGGTTTAGGGTTTAGGGTTTAGGGTTTAGGGTTTAGGGTAAAATCTTGAACTTGGGAGCTCCTAAGTCCAAAGCCCTTCCTGTAACTCAGCTTTCCCACAACTTTGATTATGCACAGCGCATTGACAATGCTCACATCTCCAGAAGAAGCATTTAGGGTTTAGGGTTGAGGGTTTAAGGGTCGTTCCGGGGTCCCTGCAAAAAACTCCTTCCTGAACAAAACAAACCTCAAAGCTTCCCGTTGCCTGTGACCAAAGCTCTGCAGGAAAACCCCACGGACCCGAGAATGCGCCGGAAACCCTAAACCGAAGCCCTAAACCCTAAGCCCTAAGCCCTAAGCCCTAAGCCCTCAGCCCTAAACCCTAAACCCTAGACCCTAGACCCTAAACCCTACACCGTAGACTCTGTACCCTAAACCCTAATCTACCTACTACGGGAATAAAGGCTCTACTGGGCCTGCTTGCCTCGGACTATACGAAATTCACAAACCCAAACACTAAATTGACTTGACTACCTGAATTCCCTAAACTCACTAAACTCACGAAACTCTAAACCCTAAACCCTAAACCCTCGACTGCTTTCCCGCTAAGCCTCCCAGGCCCAGGCCTAGATCCTCTACACGGTTTTTGAGGGCTTAGGGTTTAGGGCTGAGGGAGTTCCGAATCAAGGGCTTCGCAGGAGCGACTTCGGGCGCCTTGAGGCTTGTCACCTGTGCGTAAGAAGCATATGAAGTAGGGCTTATATTTCTTGTACCCCTACAAGGACACCAAGTATATACACTCACCAATATACAAAAGGAACCTTGTCATACACTCACCAAAAACAGAAGTATAAACCCTAAATCCTAAACCCTAAACCCTAAACCCTAAACCCCAAACCCCAAACCCTAAACCAATATAAACCCTGCTTCATATCGGGATCTGCAAGAGTCCCAGCTTTTTGGGGCTCTCGAAAGGCACTTCGGTCTTCTGCGGCCTAAACCCTAAACCCTAAACCCTAAACCCTAAACCCTAGAGGTTTAGGGTTTAGGGCTCAGGGTTTCTCTAAGTTTGCTCTGAGGACGCAGCCGACGCTGGTGTCCGCCCTCGCCCGCAGTGGCTGGACACCGATGTCGCAGATGTAGCTCTGGCCACACGTGGCTGTGTTTCGGGCTAGGCCTAGCAAGCTCTAAACCCTAAACCCTAAACCCTAAACCCTGCGGTCTTCGTCTAGAACCAAGAGTAACCAGGGTTTAGGGTTTAGGTTGAGGGTTCAGGGTTCAGGGTTTTGGGTTTAGGGTTGAGGGCTAGACCCAGGAGTAACTTACTTCGTTGCTGAAAAAAGTGTACACTTTCACCTACTAGACCCAGCAGTAACCCAGGAAGAGAAAGGGTGCCCTGTCTGGTTTTGAGGGGAGTAATATAAGGGAACCCCAACCCTAAAAAAAGGAAATAAGGGCCTACTCCAGGTCCGAGCCTAGGAATAAAAGGGTTAGGGGTTTAGGGTTTAGGGCGACCCAAGAGTAACCTAGGAATAAAACGGGGCACCCCTACATGTGTCTACCCCGCAGTTCTGCTTCTAAATTTGCGAGGGGGTGGCAATTGAATTGCGGGATTTGGGTTTGCTAAGTCAGCATCAGGGATTAGGGCTTATGGGTGCTATAATATGACCTCCCCAACATCGAGCCTACCAAAAGGATTCTGGGCTATGATCTGCCAAAAGGAATTAGGGTCTTCAGGGCATTTGTAAGGGGTGTAGGACGTACGGGCGGTAGTATGACATGCAGGATAACATAAAACAAACCTTGCAAACTGCAACTTCAGAGCCCTAACCCTAAACACAAGATCAGAGGTTTAGGGTTTAGGGTTTAGGTTTTGGGGTGTAGGGTTTAGGGCTTAGGGCCCGAAGCCCTAACCCTAAACTTAAACCACCCAAGCCAAACATGGCCCATCTCATACGGCAAGTCCTGCAGATCAAGCCAAGACCCTAACGCTTGACACATCCTAAGCCCTAAACCCTAAAAGTTTAGGCTCAGCCTACGCCCTAAACCCTAAGTCCTGCGAACCTAAGCCCGAAACACGCATAAGACCAAACACTGAGCCCTCCACCCTATACTGCAAAAACCCTGCAGGCCAAGGGGCTTAGGGTTTGAGGTTTAGGGGTTTAGGGGTTTAGGGGTTTAGGGGTTTAGGGGTTTAGGGGTTTAGGGGTTTAGGGGTTTAGGGGTTTACGGGTTTAGGGGTTTAGGGGTTTAGGGGTTTAGGGGTTTAGGGTTTAGGGTTTAGGGTTTAGGGTTTAGGATTCAGGGTGTGGGTTTAGGGCTTAGGGTGGAGGATCTCGAGCACCACGATCTCTTCAGCCGCGCGGGTGTAAGCGTGCATCCTCCGCGTCTTGCTATGGTACTCCATCGATGGCTCGATGGGAACGCCGGGTCTACCCGCAGCTCCATTAGAGGTATGTCTCCGGGAAAGAGATCACTGAGGCACCCTGCCAGCAACACTCTTTCGCCGGGCCATTCGATGGACCTTCGGAGCATGGAACTTGATGCTGAACCCCCCTTCGATCCGCCCAAGGCGATGCTTGATTGACGCCTTCAGCTCCTTGATTGCAGTGTAGTCCGCCAATCCGGGTATAGGGTTTAGGTTCAGGGTTTAGGGTTTAGGGTTTAGGGTTCAGGGTTTAGGGTTTCGGGTTTAGGGTTTAGGGGTTCGGGCTTAGGGCTACCCAAACCTTAAGCTCTGCTGCACCTGCTCTTGCGCCGGGCTGGCGCTCACGGCCACCTGGGCGTTGATGTGCGGCTGAGAGGTGCAAGGGAGAGGGATCTGAGCTAGTTCTCGAAACCTCAAGACCCAAAACCCAAAATCCAAAACCCTAAACCCACCCTAAACCCACCCGAGACCATAAACCCTAGGTTTAAGAAGGGAGTCGAACCCTCTAAGACAGGAGGGGAGTACCGGCAGACTGCCTCAAACCGACCTCATACCCCAAACACATCTTGCTGTGACTTGGGGCTTTAGAAAGGGGTCATCTACTATTTCCGGAGAACCCACCCAAACAAAAATACTAAAGAAATAAGAAAAATCTTTCTTACAAGGGTAATATGCGGATTATTCTCTTCTAGCTTCTTTGTAAGTTCTCGAACAAATAGTAGTCAGAGCTACAGCTACAACGCATTCAAGGGCCACATCCAACAGTTTTTGGGCTCTGGGTGTTGAGATTTCCTCTAAAAACTGGGACGGATTTGTGAGGCCCTGTGCTAAAAACCTGTGAATTCGGGCACGTCGATGTGAGTATTTCCCAAAGTAGGGGTACCCCTTTTATACCCCAATTAGAATTAGAGTCCCTTTAAAGTGGCCCCCAAAAAGGGCAACCCCATTTTCGGAAACCCCCCACACCAATAAAAAAACAGCCTAAACCCTAAACCCTAAACCCTAAACCCTAAACCCTAAAACCTAAACCCTAAACCCTAAACCCTAAACCCTAAACCCTAAACCCTAAACCCTAAACCCTAAACCCTAAACCCTAAGGACCGAGGCGAGCTCCGCCGTTTCGAAGCGATCAAAGATTTTCCGGCCCAGGATTTGGTTGTGACCTTGTCGGGCTGTTAGGGTTTAGGGTTTAGGGTCTAGGGTTTAGGGTTTAGGGTTTAGGGTTTAGGGTTTTAGGGTTTAGGGTTTAGGGTTTAGGGTTTAGGGTTTAGGGTTTAGGGTTTAGGGTTGTAGCCTTTGCAGGGCTGTGGGGTCTTCACTGGTCTTCGGCTAAACGGAGGCGGACGAACATCAGCCCTAAACCCTAAACCCTAAACCCTAAACCCTAAACCCTGAACCCTGAACCCTGAACCCTGAACCCTGAACCCTAAACCCTAAACCCTAGACCCTAGACCCTAAACCCTAGACCCTAAACCGGAAGACTCCTGCTCCCCCTACCATCACCCTCATTGCGAGACATTCCGTTGCTATGTTGACACACTTGCTGTTTGGGGTTTAGGGTTTAGGGTTTAGGGTTAGAGCCAGGATCAACCGAGAAAGAGCAAGAATACACTTGTTTTGGTTTAAAAGGGGCTTAGGAGAGAACCTAACCCTAAAAAAAGAGGGAATAAGGGCCTACTCTGGGTCCTAGCTTAGCACGGGACTCTTGGTGTTTTGGAGGTGGGTGATGTGGAGGGCTCTGATATTGGGGGAGGGGTTTGCACATCCAAATGAAACCAAGCCATTCTTGGGTTGAGGGCTGTTATTGCCCAAGAAACCTACGCTTCGTGTGTGTGTGTGTGTGTGTGTGTGTGTGCGTTTTTTTTTTTTTTGGGGGGGGGGGGGGGGGTCTGGAATTCAACATCCACACTATTCTACGTGAGGGGTTGCACTTGCTTAAGTGAGGACTGCTGCCGTGAAAGGCTTCTGCTATTTTGCGGTATGCCACCTAAGGGGTTCACTGTGGTGTCTTCTTGCCCTTGCTGGAAGGAAATCGGAAAGAGGCACGGTAAACGCTAGCACCCTGAACCCCAAGACCCCGAACGCTGCACCCCCAAACCTTAAAGAGACTAGGCCCCCAAAAACCCTGAAACCCTGAAAGGCTTACCCTAAACCCTAAACTCCGAAGCCCGACAACTTGATACAAACCCAAACCTAAGTCATAAGCCCGAAAAGCCAAAACCATACTCCCCCAAAACCCCGAAACGCCGTGACACCCCGCTCCCTAAAACCCCTATAAAAGGCAATGTGTATAGCCCCTAGAACCACAATTGTATACCCTTAAGCCCCATAATAAAACCCTTTATCACTCCCAATGTAAGCCTACAGAACGCTAGAGGCCTTATATACATCCCAGAACCCCTACATAAACCCCCCAAACTTGTACATAACCCCATACATGTAGGCACTCTATGACCCCTGAAGCCCCGTTAGGGCTTAGGTTTAGGGTTTAGGGTGTAGGGTTTAGGGTTTATAGGGTTTAGGGTTTAGGGTTTAGGGTTTAGGGTTTAGGGTTTAGGGTTTAGGGTTTAGGGTTTAGGGTTTAGGGCTTAGGGTTTAGGGTTTAGGGTTTAGGGTTTCCCCTGAACCCTCAACTCTCAGCCGCCCCTGTAGGGGATCCGTGCTTTCCGGAAAAATCACCGGCGGCGAGCCGTCGACCTGGATACGGGGAAGCAACAAAAAGCTGCACAGGTGAGGGTGGTTTAGGGTTTAGGAGTTGCGGTTCGGGCTTTGGGTTTTGGGGTTTCGGGTTCCCGCTTGCCCGGATCTCTCTGGGAAGATCTGGAAGGCACGGCCCTCCCATGTGGTGGCCTGTGCTGCTCGCGATTTAGGGTGTAGGGTCTAAAGGTTCACGGCAGCTTACCCTAGACCCCTAGAGCTTAAATCCTAAACCCCTCAACCCCTGAAGCCTCTAAGCCTAAACCCCTAAACCTAAACCTCTCAACCCACAGAGCCCCTCAAGCCTAAACCCAAAACCCGAAACCCTAAACCCAAAGCCCAAAACCCAAAACCCTAAACCCTAAACCCTGAACCCTAAACCCTAAACCCAAAACCCAAAACCCTAAACCCTAAACCCTAAACCCTAAACAACACGGAACCCCATTCCGCCCACAGTTCTTGGTAGCAGGGGGTCGCAAGGCTCGGTCTGGCTTGCTTCCTCGTAGGGTTCAGGGCTTAGGGGTTTTTAGGGTTTAGGGTTTAGGGTTTAGGGTTTAGGGTTTAGGGCTTAGGGTCTCAGAGCTCTTCTGCAGGCGTGAGAAGCCACACACACAAACACTTCCCCCCCCCCCCCCCCCCCCGCCTGTGTGCTACAAGTATACCCCACACCTTCAACCCGATAGCCGTAGCCCTAAACCCTAAACCCTAAACCCTAAACCGTAAACCCCAAAACCCAAAACCCAAAACCCTAAACCCTAAACCCTAAACCCTAAACCCTGGCAAGCCTCAACTGCAGACCCCAAGGCCTGAACCCTTTACCCGACACGGCTGAAAGCCCAAAACCTTGCTAGGGGTCCGGGGACCTGGCGCTCAAGGTGGTTGCTATACCCACCTCAGCAGAGAAGGGGTCTGGGGCTTAGGGGTGCAGAGGTTGAAGGTTGAGCATGGGTTGTGACAGGTGAGGGGTTTAGGGATTAGGGTTTATAGGGTTTAGGGGTTTGAGTATGGGGTATGGCAGTGAGGGGTTAGTTCAAGGCTCACAAAACTGGGGGGGTTTAGGGTTTAAGGTTGAGAGTTTGGAGGGGTCAGGGCTGCTTTGCCCTTCTTGGGTCCCTCCGGGTTCCTGGGTGTAATTAGGGCTCAGGGTTTCGGTTTCCTGTGCCTGCACTTCGAAGCAACCCAGTCTTGGACTCTGAAATTTGACGCTCTAAAGCCCCAAGAACCATGAACTTCCCAAAGCCACCAGATCCCTCGCCTAGACCCTAAACCCTAAACCCTAAACCCTAAACCCTAAACCCTAAAAAACTCGAAGCCCCCAAGCCCCACACCCCTAGCCTAGACCCTAAACCCTAAACCCTAAACCCTAAACCCTAAACCCTAAACCCTAAACCCTAAAACACTCGAAGCCCCCAAGCCCCACACCCCTAGCCTAGACCCAAGAGCAACCTCGGAATCAAAAGGGAGCCCTTCTTGGTAAACAGGGGCTCCGAAGGGAACCTGGAAGCCCTTAAAATAAGAAAAAGTAAGGGCCTTGTAGGTTCGGTTTAGGGTTTAGGGTTTAGGGTTTAGGGTTTAGGGTTTAGGGTTTAGGGTTTAGGGTTTAGGGTTTAGGGTTTAGGGTTTAGGGTTTAGGGTTTAGGGTTTCGGGTTTAGGGTTTCCTACTCTTCCGAGACCTCCTCGGTCACAGATCCCTCCGAGGTCTCCGCAAGGCTGACCAGCGTGGAGAGCACGAAGCAGACGATCACCTGCCCAGAAACCCAACAACCCTAAAACGCCAAAATACGGGAGCCCCTGAACCCTAACCCTAAACCCCAAAGCCCTGAAACACCAAAACAGGGAAGCCCCTAAGCTTTTCAGCCTTATGACCCCCAAACACAAAAAACAAGGTCGAGGAGTTTCGCTTTTTGGGCTGAAAACTTCCCGAAGGATGGGTTTAAGATCTTGGGCAAACGGGTTTGAGGGCGGGAAGGGTCGGGGGGTCTGGGGTTGAGGCAGGGGTTAAGGGTCACCCTAAACCCTGAATTCCTAAACCCAAATGGATGAAACTAAGGACTGAGCCTAACCTAAACCCTAAACCCAGAACTCGAAATCCTAACCCTAAACCCTGAACCCTAAACCCTACAACTTAAACCCTAAACCCTAAACCCTAAACCCTAAATTTTAAACCCTAAACCCTAAACCCAAAGCTCTGAAACCCGAAGCCCTAGGGCTGCCAACGCTGTCGAGTTGCATAGAGCTTGTAGCGCTCCAGGAAGTTCGACCTTGCTTGTTTTTTAGGGTTTAAGGTTTAGGGTTTAGGCTTTAGGGTTTGGGGTTTGGGGTTTTAGGGTTGTTTGTTTGGGGGGCTTAAGTCCTAGGAGGCCTTTTGAGACCCTGAAACCTAGTTTAAGCTTCGATTCCAGCTCTACCTTTCCCCAGGTACGAGTATGTGCCAGAGCTGCGCGTTTCAAGGCTGTTGCTTTTTTTGTTCCAGAGCATTTCTTTACATGTAGCTTCCAAAACATACCCAGACCCAGCATGGGGGCTTGGGGTACTTAAACCCTAAACCCTAAAACTTTAACCAGACCCTAAACTCAGTGGTTAAGGAACTACTTGCCTATCTTGAGAAGAGAGTTCAGGGCTCTTGCCAACCCTACTTCTGAGGGCGGTGCAAGGACAAACCAACACAAGGGGAGCAGTCTCAAGAGCCCAGGGGAGCCCACAATGCCCCCCCAAACTGGTGTTTAGGGTTTAGGTGTCAGGTTTTAGGGCTTAGCCCCCCGACAACCCCCCACCCCCCCCCCCCCCCCCCCCCCCCCCCCCCACGCGTTTTCAGTACCTTCGCATATATCCCAACCTGAAGCTACACCCTTCAATCCAAAACTTTCCCTAAACCCCTACAACCCAAAAACCAAAACCCTGCATCCCATAACCCCTAATCCTTAACTAATCCCTAAACCCTCACCCACATCTGCCAAAACCCCTTAATGAAGGAACATATTATATGTATATATATATATACCTAATGCATAATTATAATCCTTAGTATACATGAGGGCATATTCCTTATTTAAGGGGTTTTGGAAGATCTGGGCAACCCCAGCCCCGCAATCTCCAAGGCTGCGGCCAAAACCCAGCGAAGAAGCGGACGAGAAAGCTCCTGACGGAGGTTTAGGGTTCGGAGCTTAGGGCGAATAAGCTGAATAGGGTTCAGGGTTTAGGGTGAAGTGACGGAGGTTTAGGGTTCGGAGCTTAGGGTGAATAAGCTGAATAGGGTTCAGGGTTTAGGGTGAAGTGACGGAGGTTTTGGGTTCGGAGTTTAGAGTGAATAGGCTGAATAGGGCTCAGTTCAGGGTGACGTAACAGGTTTAGGGTGAACAGGGTTTAGGTGAAAACGGCTTAATTAGGGTTTAGGACTTGGGGTAAGTAAGGCTTGTTTAGGGCTTGGGGGGGGGGCACTACATACAAGGAACCCTGTGGCAAAATTCATAGGCTTCATCACTTTGAAGTCATGCGCACGCGAGTCCGACTCTTATGTTCGGGCATCGCATGTTTGAGCCCTTCTTTCCTTGTTCATGGGTGGGATAGTATGGTTTAGGGTTTAGGGTTTAGGGTTTAGGGTTTAGGGTTTAGGGTTTAGGGTTTAGGGTTTAGGGTTTAGGGTTTAGGGTTTAGGGTTTAGGGTTTAGGTTTTAGGGTTTAGGGTAACAACTAAAATTTCTATTCCTTATTGAGTTTTAAGTACCCATAAAGATATATAAAATGCTACCCCCCCACCATGACAAAAGTTTCGGGAGGAGCCCTAAACTCCGAATTACACCCTAAAACTGCTCGGGCAACAGAAGGCTCTGAGCCGCATCAGCCCCTCGAGATACATACCCTAAACCCTAAACCCCTAAACCCCTGAACCCTACTTACCCCTCTTGGCACTCCTCCCAAGAGCCCTCTTAAAGCCCAACAGCACATCTTCCCACGCACTGTCATCCAGACTGGTGGGGCGGCTACATTGGCAAGGGCTGTCGGACAGCCAGCTGCTGAGTGGATTCGCTTGGATCCTTAGTGGGCACTCCACCTTCCAGTGGCCACTTTTAGCCACAACGCCTGCACTCTGACTCCAAGATTCGTTGCGCCAAAGGCTTGCGGCCCTTGCCGCTGAAACCCTTTCTTCCTGACTTGCCACGGCCTTTGGGGCAAAAGCCTCTGATACGCGCCTTCTCCGAGAGTTGGCGCCTGGCCTCCAAGTACGTGTTGAGGCACGCGGACATCTCGGTGTCACCTTGCAAGGTCTCGATCAAAGCATCCTCGTACAGCTGTACTAGTAGGGCATCGTCATCCCCTTCACTGATGAGCACCTCCAACGCGGCCTCGTCACCATCGACGGTAACAAATGCCTACAAGCTGATAGACTCCAAGCCCTCAGGCCCCGGCCTCAAAGAGCCCAATATTGCTGAATTAAGCAATATACCTTAAATCATATTAAGGATCCCTATATGATTTAAGGAAACTTCCTTAATTAAGCAATATTGGGCTCTTTGGGGCCAGGCCCAAGAATCCTACGCCCTAGAAGCCGGTGAGTCGCAAAGACCCAGAGCCGGTAAGAAACCTGTACAAACCCAACACCCTCAGCCCTACGCCCTAGAAGCCCTGAGCCCGAAACCCTACCCTGTCAACTTTCTGATTTTGGGGGGTCAGGGCTTTCCTGGTCTTTCCCTAACATCCTTGGCTACCTTGTCCTTTGGACATCCAGGGTAAACCTAAAACCCTATAACCCTTGAGAACCCGATCATGGACGCCGACAGTCCTCAAGGACCCAAGACACGAAGCCAACACTACACCTCCTTCAGGCCCTTCATACCCGACGGGGTTTAGGGTTTAGGGCTAGACCCTGCAGCCTCAACCCCCCCAACCCTCCACCCTAAACCCTGAAGCCTCAACCCTCAGCCCCACCTGCTCTTCAAAGTCTGCACGTCCCCAGCGTTGGTCGTCACCTGGGGCACACCCACAGCAGGCCACGTGCCATGTGCGCAGCGCACTGGTCTTGCCACATGCTGACACCCTCACTTCCTCTAAGGGTCCATGTACCTAATTCTTATATATATACATATATATATATATGTTGGCCCGAAAGTCCCTATGTAGGAGGTACTTTAAGGCGCAAGTATTCCTTATTTAGGTACATGAGGGTTCCTCTTTAACGAAATCGCTGGCCGTGGTCGTGTTCTTGATTCCCAGCCCAGCCAGCCTCTCTGAACGAAGTGGGCGCGCCCCTATCCTCGCCCTCACAATCTTCGTATTTATTTATTTTGTCTTTTTTAAGCGCTTTTTAATGACCGGTGAGTGATAGCGAAGAAGCCAGAATGAATCTGTCAATGAGCTCGCGGAATTGACATCATGCATTCGGAAGCTCATAGACGTCCTAAGGCTTCTACAACTGCTAAGGAGCGAGGAGTTCTCTCTGCCTTTTCTTGCGCCGATTTCGACCCCCATTGGAACTTTGCTACTCGTGCGGGCAAAGAACACGGGCCCGCTTAGTAAACAGTACCAACCAACGTACCACAAGTACCTGCCATGCCATCCACAAAATAAACCAAAGACGAGGTCTTCAACCCCAGCCTAACTTCATGAAACCTTTAGGGACCATAATCTACGGAACTGCCCACGTGGGGGCAGAAGGCTATTTTGTCGGATGGTGGGGGTGAGGAAGTGCTGCCTGAAGCCTAGATGTTTGCCTAAACCCCAAACACCAAACCCCAAACCCCAACCCCCAACCCCCCAAACCCCAAACCCGAAACCCCCAACCCCCCAACCCCAAACCCGAAACCCCAAACCCTAAACCCCAAAGCCTAAACCCTAAACCCTAAACCCCAAACCCTAAACCCTAAACCCTAAACCCGAAACCCCAAACCCTAAACCCTAAACCCCAAACCCCAAACCCCAAACCCTAAACCCTAAACCCTAAACCCTAAACCCGAAACCCCAAACCCTAAACCCTAAACCCTAAACCCCAAACCCCAAACCCTAAACCCTAAACCCCAAACCAAAGCAGAGTCTGCTGGGTGCCCAGCCGCATCGATAGGGACCACCGACTTTGGGTGAGAGCCCGTGGGTACCTGCGCTGCTCGATGCGGTTCGGGGTTTAGGGTTTAGGGTTTAGGGTTTAGGGTTTAGGGTTTAGGGTTTAGGGTTTAGGGTTTAGGGTTTGGGGTTTGGGGTTTGGGGTTTGGGGTTTAGGGTTTGGGGTTTGGGGTTTAGGGTTTGGGGTTTGGGGTTTGACCCGGAGCCCTACGCCCCTACATCCTGTACATGCCCGATGCCCTTAAAACCTGTGGGCATGATCTCCAAAAAAAAAAGACCCCCAGACCCTGGACGTTAGACTCTAAACTACTCTCCCCAGCACCCCAACACCCTCTAGTAGTTAGGATGGGGGTAGTGTAGGATCCCATGATGGAGCTTTGGGTTGAGGCTTCATGGGCTCCTTGTCCCGCAACCCCCAATCCCCAAACCCCTAACTCTCTGTGGCCCCCCAAGCCATGACTCGCGAGTTCGGGCGGGGACTGATGTGCCTTGTAGGGGGTAGGGGTGTGTGCCTGTTGGGGGGGGGGTACTTATAAGCTTCATCGGGTTGGCCTTTGAAGTCATCCACGTGTCATGCAGTGCATGCTCGCTTGTACAGAAGTTGGTGTGTTCAGCCTGTTAGCGCATTTCTGCTCCAGAGACGACATCTGAACCCCTCCTAAAAGTTTAACTTTTCAGGCTCCCTGTTGTAGTTAAAAAAAACCCAAAAGGCTAAAGTCCCAGAAGAAAGCCAAGCAGATCCTCAATCGTCAGCCGTCCACACCAGGATTGTTGACGAGGGTTCATCAGGGCCATCAACCCTAAAACCCACGTCCTTGAAGTCTGATACCTTAACTCCAGTTTTCAGCGACTCATGGGGGCTCACCACCACCCCCACTGCGTGGAGATCCTCCTCCTGCTGCTCCTGCAAAGGCTTTAAGGGTTTCGGGCCTGGGTGGGTGGGTGGGGGCGGGGGAGGGGTTGTCAGGGGTCAGGGGTCACGGGTTCAGGGTGACGCAGCGGTTAGGGGTTGAGGTTTAGGGTTTGCTGGGGTCGGTTTGGGGAGAGGGGGAGGGGGTGGCTTGCTAACAAAATTGACGTGTATGGGTCCGGGATGCTAAAGTTGTTTCAAAGCCACCCCAGTTTCGGTCAGAGCTCCCATGCAAGCTGCCAGTCTTCGCGGAAGGGTCTTGGGGCTTAGCTTAACCTACTTCTCCAATAACCAAGGCAAAAACATGATCTTTACTGTCCCTACTAAACAATGAGTAAACACAAATATTTTTACAGTTCGTGTATTGGCTAAGTAAGTTAAAGGGCTCTTGATTGCGGCTTTGGGGGTTTCGGGGTACTATATGTCTGGCGACTCATGGACCCTCAGCCCGGAACCTTCCGCGCTAACCCCTTAAACCCTCAACCCTAAACCCTTAAAGCCCGAAACCCTTAAACCCTTCGCCCTCTAACCAACAGCCTGGGTAACCCTTTCGGGTTCCGCGGCTTGGGGCAGGTGCAGACAGCTTAGCGCAGGCTAAGCTCGACCCAGGAATAACCTAGGAATAACAAAGGCTGCCCTTTTTGGCTTACAGGGGCTTATAAGGGAACCGAAACCCAACAAAACAGGGAATAAGGGCCTACTCTGGGTCCTAATGAGGTCACCTCAAGTAGGGTTAAGGGTTTAGGGTTTTGGGGGTTTAGGGTTTAGGGTTTTGGGGGTTTTGGGGGTTTTGGGGGTTTGGGGGTTTCTTACAGGGAAAACCGCAAATCCCTGACGCCAGGCGCGGCTGCTTTTCAAACTGAGGGCCGCAACTCCAAACCCTCAAACAACACGCCCAAGCCCTGAAAGCCCAGTAGAAGCCACAAACCCTCAGGGTTTAGGGTGTGAGAAGCTGGTAGCCCTTCCAATAGGTGCCAAACGGACATATGGACCGACCTTATGGACCGGATGTATAGATCAGCTTCAGGGCTGTTTTTCGGATCGCTGTATAAGGCTTATACCCTAAAGCAGCGATCATGTGCCCCACATAGCGGGAAACGATGATGTTGTTTACCTTTTTGCGTACTTTTGGCTTTTGAACGTCATTACATGTACACCCGATGCAATCCGCACAGAAGTAATAGGTGATAATTATAGTGGCACCCACAATCTTGGTAAACAAATATAATGCAGCCATTCACATTTTTTACAGCATGCATGTCTTAGAAGCTGACTTTTTTCATGTTCGCGAACTTTTCGCTTTTGAACGTTGATCATTCGCGCCCATGCACAGAAGTAAATTAATATAGGTGATATGATATGGCACCCACAATCTTGATAAACAATATATATAGTTCAGCCATCCACATGCATTTTTTACAGCATGCATGTCTTAGAAGCTGCACGCCTTTTGGATGCGTTGTGGCCAGTGCTTGCGTACCGCCTTAAACCCTATATATTATAAACCCTAAACCCTAAACCCTATTATAAACCCTAAACCCTAAACCCTAGCCATCCAGCACGCATGTCTTGGAAGCTGCCTTTTGGATGTGTTGTGGCCAGTGCTTGCGCGCTAGGGTGTCTGCACTGCCTTGCACATGAACCCTAAACCCTATAGGTTTAGCTAAACCCTCATCCCTAAAAAGCCTAATTCCTGAAACCCTAAAACCGTGAAACCCTAAACCCCGAAACCGTATATATATATATAGATATATATACATATATAGATATATGTGTGTGTGTGTATATGCATGTGTCGGACATGCTAACCCTGAGCCAAAAAACTCTTGAGGAATCCTAGAAGGTGAGCCCCTATAAAGCCTAGGAGATCGATATATGTCCTGCACTCATGCAACGCCATGGCCTGATTTTGACGGTCTTGGAATGCCTGGTACCCAGTACGTCTGATCAATTTTGTAGATGTAATATATCGCTTGTGTAAGACTGCAGGTTCGACACATGTCCTCGACCTCTTCGGCAGGAAAAGAGGCACGAGAGAGCTGCCTACGAGCACTAAAGTGCATGCCTCGATCCTGTGGGCAGGCTTCATGGAGGAAAGATGGTGCTCCCTCCCTGCCTTCGCTTGTGTCCACATATCATAGAGGCACGCAAGCAGATCGAGTCATCAATCTCCTTCCGTCGTGCAATATTTTGGCTCGCATGCGAGGCCTCGCGTCGGGCATGTGTTTTTTAACATGCATGATCGATCGACGCATGTTTTGATGTGCATGCATGCCATTCAACACGCATGCCTTCTGTATAAGGCGCTAGCTAGGATCGAGCTCATATATGGCCGTGTAATTTCAATGCCCGAAAAATGCCGTCTTCGAAAACAACGGCAAGCGAGGTCGGAGAATGCGGAGCATGTTTTCCGGCAATTGCATGCCCACTTTAACGACCCGCGCTTGGATTTGGTGTGCAAGGCCAACTTGACGGGTGAACTTTTCCCGAGGGGCAACCTCAAAAAAACTCAGCAGCGCAAGATGTTCAGGTTCGCTGCATCTTGTACAGGCCGGTTTTTTACAAGAAAGCTTTGCAAGATGGTTGTGCGAAAGCTGCTCCAGTCACCTGACCTCGACCTCAGACCCCCTCGATCACCAAGTTAATCATGGGCGCAGTGGGCTGAGCGCCAGCTTAAGCGGCTGCAGCAACTAGCTTCTCGCGCCAAGCGCCTCACGATGGATGACTGGGAGACTCAGCCCATGTCAGCCGAGCAAGCAGATGCTTTGAAAGTCAGAGCCCTACAAAGACATGTATATATACACATATATATTGCATATAATATATATAGCTCGAAGTATGAACCATGCATGCAAGGCCCAGGCCCCCGACCCTCCCCCCAGAGACCATGCACTTTTCAGGCTGACTTCGTTCTTCGGGAGAAGACAATGCCAGTTCCGGAGGCGTTGGCTTTTCAACTCTCAAACATTCAACTAGACTGGTACATGCATGCCATCAGGAGAG